TCTCTCTCTCTCTCTCTCTCTCTCTCTCTCTCTCTCTCTCTCTCTCTCTCTCTCTCTCTCTGTGTGTGTGTGTGTGTGTGTGTGTGTGTGTGCAGCGCCCAATGCTTCGCCCCCTCACCCCCCGGCAGTCTGCGCGGTTTGATTCCCGGTGCTGGCCCTCGCCCCCCAAGTGGACCATGCTCGACCTGCACCTTTCCGAGAGGTGCGGCGTTTCACACCTGCATGGCCGCGTCAGCCTGCTCAGCCGCTCCCTTCCCGGGCGCTGGGCCCATTTTGAGTTTCCAAGGGAGGGCGCCCAAAATTCGCCTCGGCTTTCCCAACAGTGGAAATAGAGGCTCACGTGGGACAGTCGCACGAGACCCTCTATTTCCTTTAGAGTATTATTATTATTATTAGAGAAATCAGAGCCCTCTACGATGACCTACAGACAAACCAAACACCGCAGGACCTGTACGCAACACCGAGAGCGCCATGAACCTCCGCCTGCCGCGCAACCTGCAGAATCGGATGATGTCCTAGTGCCATAGCGAGGCCACTGCGAGAACTGTCCTAGTGCCATAGCGAGGCCACTGCGAGAACTAGACCAAATTCCACAAGTTCTCCCTGCGACATCAGGAGCGCTACTGCTTAGAACCCCCTAGAAGGCACCCCATCCTTCCATGTGCTCCGAAAGAGCACCTCGGGGGAATGACACCCACAGCAAACACTCTCTGAAAGTGAAATCCCCCGTATGCCGTACTGGGGGTCTTCGTACGGGCCATCCAAACGGACGTTCGGACGGTTGTGTCGCCGCACGGCCGCCGCCCGGACGAAGCTGCCAGGGGCTGCTGGGGGGGAAGGGAGGGGGGGGGATTTAGTGCCTTGGGGGGGTAGTGGGGGTGGCAGGGACCCCCCCAGAATTTATTTTTTTAATTCGTTTTTTTTGGGGTGAAAAATAAGTAAAAAGAAAGAAAACGATTGGTTGATGGATTTGATTGATTGATTGATTGATTGATTGATTGACTACATTGAATCCGAATGATTTTGATTGATTGATTGATTGGAAAAAAAAGAAAGTAGGCACTGATTCTCGCGGCAGTGTCTGCTCGCGCACTCCCAAGTCTCTGTCTCTCTCGCTCGGCACGCACGAGCATCGGGGAGGGGGAGAGAGAGAGAGAGAGAGAGAGAGAGAGAGAGAGAGTGTGTGTGTGTGTGTGTGTGTGTGTGTGTGTGCACGCAGGGGGGAGGCAACCCCCTGGCAACCAATCAATTAATCAATCAATCTTTTTTTTAGTGCTCTTTTTTTTCTTTTTTTTTTTACAATCGATTAATCAATCAATCAATCTGCGAGGATCTGGGTCCTTGGCAGGCCTGAGGGCCCCCTGTTGCATACGTGCCCTCCCTAAGTGAAGGCAGGCCTAACAAATCATGAGAGGCCCTCGACTGTCAATTTCGTATTTGGGGGTCCAGACAGTTGCGACGCGCCAGTTGGTTAAGGGAAATACATGCCGAGCAACAAAGACATTCCACGGCCTTTTGGGCCTTTCCAAGAATGCAGGCCCTGGGTGAGAATCACAGCCTCATGCACTGACAGTTGTGAGGCCCAACCGAAAGAGGCCCAGTAGCTGCAACACAAGCGCAGCATCTTGGGGCCTACCGGAAGCTTCTGGGCCCAGGCCAGTCCAGCGAGGCTGCAAAGGCAGGAGGCTTTTTCCATATAGGAAAGAGCTCACCACTGGCAGCCTCATTAGGACTCGCATGCTAGCGGCAGCGCTGCTGGAGCGGACACTCGTGGGCTGCTGATGGCGCTGAGAGGCGAGTTGCTAGCGCGTGCGGTCGTGCAGGGAGCAGGGCGCTGCTGAGGGCAGCGCCATAGCCCAGCCTCTATAGCTGGCTTGGGCTTGGACTACAGTAAGGCGCAGTCGGTTGGTCTTCGGGTGTACAGAGGGAAGATGTGGGTGTAAGACGAGGGAGCGAGAGAAGGATGATGATGATGATGATGTGAGGGGACGTACCTGGTATTGGCAATGGTCTGCTATGGGCGACATCTTCAAGTACTTCGTGGGCTGCTGACGTCAACAGTTGCATCGTCAATTAGTAGGCAGACTGTAGCTGTGTAGGGAGTAGGCTGGGCGCCGAGCGCCAAGTAGGAGATAGGGCCTGAACACTCATGTTGGTGGTGGTGAGAGCCAGCTCTCATTGACATTGGTTTTTCAGAGTTACGGTTCTTCATTGGTGTTATATTGGTGCATTTCTGCTTTCTGGATACTGTGATACCATCTGGCCTTCAATGTGATTGTGTATGCTGGACATTGTCATCTCGCTATTGCTCATTTTCCTTGCAATTTGGTATCGGAGCTGGTTCGAACTGCCCTTCAATGATTCTTCGCAATAGCTGTTTGGTGTTTCGCCTGAAGTGTGGGGCAGTTATAAAGCTTGGGCGTTGAATGTAAGGCGGTCCAGGGTCGTGTGGGCGTGCCAGGAAGCTATGTGGTGACATAAAGGTGTACGCTAGATGATGAGAGCTCACTGATGTGGCATTTAAGCCGAGGTGGAACTGCATTCTGCTGTTGGTTGTGCTGAGGCAGAGACTGGTCGTCATAAGTACACATCAGGTTGCTGGTGAGAAATCTGTGGTTGGAGGCAGCATTAATGAGGTACGTTGCTCTCTTCCTTATCTACCCTCTCCACTACTTCTTATCGTGAGGAAGTGAGTTTTGTCTTGAGAGTCCTCTCAATGTGAGGTGTCGCGAGCGCTCAACCTTGAGAGTCAACATTGTTCCTGGGCAGCAAGCTTGTGGGAGACGGGCGAAGCCTCTAAAGGGCCCTGGACGAAGCAGTCGGGTCACGGTCAGCATGCCAACCCCCCGGGACTAGTACACACATGCTTTGTCGCAAGTCCTTGGATCTGCTGCTGCGCAATAGAGGTCATGCAGGGCCTGCCAGCCCTTTGAACAGATGCTTTCCAGACCGTTTTTAAATATTTCTGGTGGGGACTCGGTGTTTGGCTGTGATCGTTGTCCTGTCTGCGACGTTAAATAATTCTTGAGGACCTTGGGGGCTGTCCGTAAACTGCCTCTTGATCAGCCAGATCAAATCGGGTGTAAGGCTCGTTGCATGCGAGGGTAAATAAAGTGCAGGGGCTGGCAGGCTCGACATAGACTTGGGGCACAGGGGTGGGCCGGATTGCATACCTTTAGACACGCCGCTCAACCACATGCTCAGGGCGTTGACACAAGTGACAACTCAAAAAGGATACAGGGAGACCGGGGGGATTCCGGTAACTGTTCGCTGTGGCATTAACTAGATAAACGGCCATCCAGCATACATCTCAGCAGGAAATATTCTTTTTATTTTTGATTATTTAGTTGTTACAGACTTGACTGACAACTAACAGACAGCTGCAGATAGATAGAAATCCTTGCTGCATGCCATCTGTTTCAGATTAATGTAAAAATAGATTTAGTATTCCTTGTAGGACCTGACATTGATTGCTGGTTACCACTTGACTACTTCTTCTTAAGCTTACCGAATTTAGAGTCAAACATTAATCGGTTGTGTGTCCTGCTGAGGTAGGATCCAATGTGGGTTGTAGTTTAGACTACACACACTGTAGCTCATGAGTGAAGTTGTCAATAGTGAGGAGGAGGAAGAACTAGTCGAAGACCTTAGGGTCACTCGTAGAATCGCTCTCAGTCGTCCACTCACCTTCCAAGAGTTAGGTCCGGGAGACGAAAGGAGATTGTGAAGGGAAGCCAGGTCAAGCGAGATATTGCGGAGAGCAAGAGCAGCTGCAGCTAGTGTTGGGGCTAGGACTGAGGTCAACACAGGCACAACTATGGCTACTTCTTCCACAGTGTCCCAGGCCGTGTCCCAGGCCTCTTCGTCGGGAACGAGTCAGGGTACCCAAGGTATGGTTAGTCAATCTGTTGGCTTGCAAGTCAGCCAACAACCTCAACTCTCAGCAGAGGATTATGAGATCCTCCAGGCACAAGAACTTCATAACGAGTTGCAGAAGCAATTGAGAGAGGCAGCGGAGAGAAGGCAAAGGGCTATACTTAGAAAAGCTAGACTAGGGAGTAGGAGGTAGGAGCTAAGCAAATTAGAAGCATTAGACGAGTCAATACTTGACCCTGCTATGCAAGCGCTGCGTGGCGGAAATGCAGGTTGCCCAAGAGGAAGTGTTGGCTGAACTAGTGGCAGGCCAGAGACAAATTATGGCCGCACTGCAGGCTCCTCGTCCTTAATGAGGCAACCTCAGTATGTTGTAGCTCCCCCTTCGGTTGCGGGTCCATCAGTGACGCCATCGTCAGTAGGGCCCTCTTTCTCACCCACGTATGGCATCCCTCTATCAGGTAGTCAACCAGTAGTTAGTGGTCAGGTTCTTATTTATTCTCCCGTACCATCGAGGACGGTGGCAGCTACAGTGCCATTGTCTAGACATCCGCAGGTTAGCGTGCAGCAACCTGTCTCAGTGGCTATGCAGCCACTGCAGCAATCACCTGGGCAAATCCAGCCTATGCAGTGGATGCCCAAGATGCCCTTGCCGAGTCCCAAGCCCTTCTCTGGTGACAGGAAGAAGGACGAGGACTCAGATACCTGGGTGAGAATTGTGCCTACCTATGTGAGGCACAAGTTCACCAGACCAGAGCAGGAAGTCATAGTTTTGCTGCTTCCTTTTTAGAGGGATCGACAATGCGTTGGTTGAATGGGTTAGTACAACAACAGGGCTACAGTCAAAATTTCGATGCCTGGGCCCACGCCCAGACATTGGAAGACTTCGTACGGTCTATGTATAATAGGTGGCATAACCCTCAAGGGGCTCAAAAGGCCACCGACGCGATCAACAATCTTTGTGCCAAAAGGTACAAGAATGTTCGTAAGATCACAGATACCGTAGCACGTCTGCTCGTGGTACCTGGTGTGCGCTATGACCAGCAGGTACTCCTCACGGATTACTTGAGATGTCTACCTTCAGAGGTTAGGACTAAGCTGGTAGATGAGGCCTACGTCGACCAACACAACTTCGTTTCTTTCAGCAAGAAGGCCTTAGATATAGAGGCAAAGCTTGGGTCCGCGCATCAAAGTCAGGGAGATGGTAGGAGGAAGAAACTTCCCCAAGACTGGAAGAAGAAGGGTCAGCTAATGTTCGTCGATCATGATGGTCAGACGACAGAAATTGACGACTTCTCAAATCTTAGGGATGAGACAGAGTATGATGGGGCCAATGAGACTTCGGATGGGGGAGTGGTGGCCCCTATCAAAGAAAAGGCTAGGGGGACCGGGAAGAAGAAGGTAGTCTGGTCTACGGGGCAGGGCGACCAAGGAATGCCCACATGGGTAAAACTTGGTTTAGATTACGAGGTATGGAGGGACCGAGTTGCCAGGGGCACGTGCATGAACTGTGGCAACTACGGCCACACGTCTAGAACGTGTCGAGGTAAGAAGGTCACTAAACGGTGGTGGGCTTATCTTTGAACCCTGACAGTGCTTCTGCGAGCACTTCGCAGGGAAATACCTCGGGCCAGTAGGTGTGTTATCCGCTCTTACTCGTGTTGAGGTGGT